GCGCGTGGCGGGGGTGTCTGCCGCGGATAACAGAGCAGGCAGGAGGGGAGAAGAGCGGTGGACTTATTTCTAATTTTATCTGACTTATTTAATTTTATTTTTATTGTTTTTTATCGTCCTGCAGGCTCTGATGGAAAATTAATTTGAGGCTGAGTATTTGTTTTTATAAAAATCGTTAAGATTATTCTAAAGCAAAATGAGGGAAAATCTGTGTCAGTTACAGACATTCTGTTCACGTGAGCAGCTGTCAKTCAGCACCTGTCAACCTCCAGACACATGGAGCGTGTCTGAACCAATCACTTTTGTTGGCATTGATCATCTGACTGATTTAAATACATCTTAACATTCATGAGGTACTTTACATTGACTGTTTATGGTTGAATGTGGGCGTGTAGAGGGTAGAACCTGAGGCGGGACCTCGTGCGCAAACTCTGACGTGCGGCTGTGATTTGTAAAGGAAAGATGCGCAGAAACGTGCGTACGTATGGTTTTATAAATCTGAATTTTTTTTGGTGTACGCCATTTCCGCCTTTTGGCCGTACGTTCACTTTTAGTATGGTTTCCACGCAATCCTTTATAAATGAGACCCCAGGTCCTTTGCAGTGGGGATTACTTGTTGCCTTTGAATAACCTCAGTTTGGAAGAAATTGACTAAAATTCTGACCAGACTGACGAGCTAATAGTCCAAATGTAGCCAAGACCAAAGTAGACAGCCGCTGTTTTAAAATAACTAATATTTACGTTCTGAGGCCCTGTTCATGACCATACCACCCTGAACATGCCAGAGCTCATCTGACCTCAAAAGCTAAACAGGGTGGACCTGGTTAGTCCTTGGATGGAAGACCGCCTGGCAATACCAGGTGCTGTAAAACCAATGTAGGAGTTGCGCCCACATTTGAACCTTTGACCATCATGGGTCACCTTCTAATGAAAGATGACAAAAAAGGCCCTGTTCAGACCTGTATTAACATACATTCCCACTGACTGTGTCACAAATGGATTGCTCTTGTTCATTTCTGGTTTCAAGGCAATCCGCTCTACCCTCTAATACAAATACAGCAATAAAAGATCTGCTTGTGTATGGAGGACCAAACCTATCATTATTGGAAATAAATGTATAAATATATAACTGGCGTATTAAAATAAATTATAGGGTCAAAAAGAAGTTTGACAAATAAATTATTGTGCCATTAAATCAATTACATCAATTATTTAGAT